TCAGCTGCTGCCAGGGCGGGGCAGGCTTTTCGGAGCCGCCTGAGGGGAGAGGCTGGTTTTCCTGTAAGACATATGCTCGCTGCTGGCGGAGCTGAGAGCCAGGCTGTCACCTGTGACCCCGCGGGGCCTGGGCAGAGATGTGCGGAAAATGAAGGTATAGCTTTTACTCTCCTGACTCAGGGAGGGCTGTTAGAAAAGGCAGACGTAACAGAGTCATGAGACCTGGGACAGAGTCCTGGCTCTGGAACTTTCTAACTGGAACAGTGCTGAGGAGCCGAGCCTCTTTCTGCTGGCTCCGCGTCGTGAAGGCGAGGCCTGGCCTGGGGACAGTCTGGCCGCCCAGATGCTCCCCGGGGGTGCTCTCCCCCACAGAGCAGGCACAGGCCTCGCCAGAGCCTCTGTGGGTTTTGCTTGTTGAGTAAAAGGCTGAGCAGGTAGGAAAGCTAACGGCTACTCTGGAGTCAGCCCATCCTCAGTCCAGAGCCAGGCTGAGGAGCTGAGCTGGCCCAGGGGCCTCCCGGAAGCCATGGGACCCAAGGCTCAGCTCAGCCGACAGCGGGGCCGGTGTTCTGAGGAGCCCACAGAAAGCTGAGCCGGTCTCAGCTGCCCAACCGTGGACGCAGCTCTTTCCATCCCAGCCCCCTTCCTGCCCTCACTCCACCTGCCACTTGCAGCTCCTCCACATCCCTCCTCTGTGCCTCCCACTGGGTGTGGACATCCCACACTGAGGATGTCCACACCCAGGTCACTTCCCATGTCCCCTGCCGGTCACGGGAAAGGGACCGGGCTGGGCTCTCTCCACACCCCTTCCTGTGTGCCTGGCACAGCATGAGGTACATCACACATGGCATACACACGCACACTTACACACTCTACACTCACCTGCACACTGACACACACTCACACTCACGCACACTCACACCCTCAGCAGCCACTCAGGTGTGCAGAGGAGGCCATGGGGAGGCTAAAGGGATTAAGAAACTCAAGTTCACACTGCGAGTGGATGCTGATTCCCACCAAGGTGGCTCGGTTCCAAAGCTAAGGTGCTTCCCCCCACACTGCCTCTGACGGCAGCGGACGGCGGCGTTGGTCAGCTGGTGGCCCACAGGTCCTGCAAGTGAGCGTTCTTGTGGGACACTTCTAACTGACTGAAAACAGACCTGTCCGCATGCTTTGGTGTGGGGTGGGTGGTTTCGGTCAGTGCCACCTGGAAGGGAGAATGGCTTCTAGCACACGCTGTAACAGTACCTGGGAGTGTCCCTGAGCACACGCGGGCACTGGGACTGCTGTGCCTGTGGGTGAAGAATGGATGGGGTGTGCTGTAATGTAGTGCCCTGCCCACATCGGATTGGGTTGGAGAATGTTGCGGCTGGAGGCCCAGCAGGGACTCGGGTGCACACAGACGTCCTCAGCCTTCACGTGTTTCCTTCTCAAGTAACAGACCTTCATCGGGGATTTCCCTCTGATTTCAACTCCTGCCAACATTCAGCAGCAGATATGTCACTCACACCTCCCATCGTCGTGTTTTTAATTATGATCCATCTAAAGCTTTGATGATTGTGGAGAGAGTAGGTGAGTGAGAATGTGAGTGTGTGTGGGCAGGTGAGAATGTGGGTGTCTGTGGGCAGGTGAGAATGGTGAGTGTGGGTGAGTGTTGGAAAATCTAGTGCCTCTTAAAGTATTTTGATTGAGGAAGGATACCTAGGGTCATATTCTTTTCTTAAGTGTAATTTATTTGGTCACATTGGTTAATAAAATCAAATAGGTTTCAGGTGTATAATTCTACAATGCATCACCTGTGTATTGTATTGTGTGTTCACCACCCCAAGTCAGGCCTCCTTCCACCACATTTCCCCTCTTTGCCCTCTTCTACCTGCCCCCCCACCCCCCCACCTCCGGCAATCACCACACCATAGTCTATGTCTATGAGCGTCTTTCTTTTTTTCCCTTTCTTTCTATCTTTATTTCTTTCTTTCTTTTTTGCTTAATCCTTTCACTTTTTCACTATCCTCCAACGCCCCTCCCCTCTGACAGCTGTGTGACTGTTCTCTGTATCCACGAGTCTATTTCCATTTGTTTATTAGTTTATTTTGTTCATTGGATTCCACATATAAGTGAAATCATGTAATATTTATCTTTCTCTGATTGGCTTATTTCTCTTAGCATAATGCTCTACAGGTCCATTTATGATGTCACAAAGGATATGATTTCCTTTTTACAGCTGCATAGTAGTCCGTTGTGCAGATGCACCACAGCTTTTATCCACTCAGCTACTGATGGGCAATTGGGCTGTTTCCAGATCCTGGCTGTTGTAAATAACACTGAAATGAACATGGGGGTGCATACTTCCTTTGGAATCAGTGTTTTAGGTTTTTTCAGATAAATTCCCAGAAGTGGAATTGCTAGATCGTAAGTCAGTTCCATTGTTAATTTTTTGAGGAATCTTCATACTATTCCATGGTGGCTGCTCCAATCTGCATTCCCTCCAGCAGCGCAGAGATGTCCCTTTCCCACATCCTTGTCAGCAACAGCCATTCTGCCGGGTGTGAGGAGATATCTCACTGTGGTCTTCATTTGCACTTCCTAGAAGATCAGTGATATTGAGTGTCTTTCCACATGTCTATTAGCTATCAGTCTATTCTCTTTGGAAAAGTGTTTATTCAGGTCCTTTGCCCATTTTTTAAATTGGATTTCTTTTTGGTATTGAGTTGGGTGAGTACTTAAAAATATTAGATATCAAAGTATTCATCACATGTATCTTTGATGAATACTTTCTCCCATTCAATGGGTTATCTTTTCATTTTGTTGATTGTTTCTTTGCTGTGCAACAACTTTTAAGTTGCATGTAGTCCCATTTGTTTCTTTTTTTTCTACCACTTCCCTGGCACAAGGAGATATGTGAGAGAAACTAATTGTATAAGAAATGTCTGAGATTTCACCATCTGTTTCCTTCTGGGATTTTTATGGTTCCTAGTCTGACAGTCTTTAATCCATTGTGAGTGTTCTCTTATAGATGGTATAAGAAGGTGGCCTACTTCTGAGCCTTAAAGTATTCAAAGTATCTTTCTGGGGTCTTTACATATGAGCATAGCACACATCCAATCCAAAGCTCGTGCCTTTGCCTCAGAAGCCCAGCCTCGGCCCCTCACCTTCTGCCATGGTGTCACGTGGGAAAGTCTGCAGTGAAGAACAGTCTGGCCCTTTGTTGCAAATGATGACCTGCTGTTCCCTTTTGCTCTGTTAGGGCACACATAGGCCCCAGCGCTCCTGGTGGCCAAGTGCATCTGCAGAGAAGGGTTAAGAGTCCTGGTTCAGCAATTCTCTCTGATCACTCGGCTTCCATCGAATCTCTAGACTGAACTGTGTTGTTCTGTATTGTTTCCCTTGGGACTTTCCTCATGAAAAGGCACTTTTAAACCTTAATTGCGCCCTGTGCCCCATTCTTTCTCTCCCCCGTTTTCATCTACCTCCTCTTCCTTTTCCTCCTGCCTGTCCTGAGGCAAGCCCCGGGGGCCTCCTGCTGGCAGCCTCGGGCTTGTCAGCCAGAGACTCCTCCTTCCCGGGGCTCCTGGAGCAGCTCCTGTATTGCAGGAGTGAGAAAGCCCATTAATTTTGAAACAAATGTATGCAAATACGTTTATTAATATAGGAAATAGGAAAATCAGTTATTGCTTCCTTTATAAATAATACAGGCTTAAGTTTTAAAGATATTACTTTTGCTAAAATGCATTAGACAGCTGTGAAAAAATAACATTTTTCTTTGTGGTAATATCTTTAACCAGATTTGTAGCACTAACAATATTTCCTATGTATATATTATTTTTATTTAATACAGGTAATCTTTTTATTACCAAATCCTATTGCTTCTCAGGAGGTTACCATCAGCACTCATAAAAGCTGCTCCAGGAGAGCGGGCGGGAGGGGCCTCCGGCTCCCGCACCGAGGGCTGGCGCTGCAGATCACACACACAAATGCATTTGCGTGATGTGTGTCAGGAGCCGCGCGGAGGGGCACACTATTTAAAGCCACTCTCCCCGTTTTGTTTCCATTTCTATTTGAATCAAGCCGTGGCGCAGCCTCTAATTTCACCCGAGAGCAGAGTGGCCTTGGCTGAGGGCCCCTCTGTGAGCTGCCGTGTCCCGTGCCCTGCTCGTCGGAGCAGCAGGGGCTACGGGGCTCTAGGTGTCCCTGTCCCTGTGCAGAGTGCCCCACTGACCCATGGGATCCTCACATCTGACTTGGAAAGTTGGCCAGCAGCCCGAGGCCCAGGTTGACACTTCGGGAGTGTGTGCCAGGCCCCAGGTTCCCCACTCAACCCCACGAGGCGGGGCAGGTTTGCAACCAGGCTCTGATCCCATGCGGCCACCCAGCCCGCTTTCCGGGCTGCAAGTGGAAGTGCCGCTTCTTCCCTGTGCCTGTGCCTGCGCAGGACCGCGCAGCTGTGCGCAGTGCCGGACGCTGGCCGGCTGGCCGAGACAAGGCCGCCACCTTGACCCTCGACCGCATGCATCTGCTCCACTTCACTTAGGCACACAGGGTGGGACATACGGGTGCAGTTTTCATATGAAACATAATGCCATCATTAATAAGTAATAATACAGGAATAAAGTGTTCTGTGTACTCACAACTGCAAATCTCCTTGGCCCACCCTGTATGCTGCCAGGAAAACTTAGGCCACTGGAAAGCGAGGCAGCGGGAGAGCAAGGGGGACCGACTGGTTGGTCCTGCCCCCTTGCTCCTGGAGCCACGCATGCACTCTGCAGAAGTTGAAGGAGGCCCGGCCTTCCCATCAGCATGAGCGCTTTCCTAGGGGGCTCTGACCTGAGGAGGACCAAACCCCAATCAGAAGCCCTTTCCTGGAGCCCCTCTGCCCGCAGCGCCTCCATTCCTCCAACGGGGACCTCCCTGCCACCTCTGGTCCCCAAGGCCGCGGGATGAATGAGAAGAACAGGGAATTGGGAAAGCTGCCCCAGCCTCACCTGGCCCAGCAGCCGAGCTCAGGGTGCCTGGAGCCGCCTGTGGAAATGGCCCTGCAGCAAGGCCACTGGCTGGGCCGCAGCCCTCCTTCACACCAGCCGCACCCCTTAACAGCTATTGTGCCTCCCGCCTCCCCCCAGACCTGCTCTACCTCTCGGGCTGCTGTGTTCCCTGTCGCCATGCTGGGCCAATGGCCCTGATCTGACCTGCTTCCCCCTGTGTCTGTCCTGTAGTTAGCTGCGTCCTCCGTCCCTGGGCTTGTCAACTCCCCAAGGCCCACTTCTCCACGGAACCATCCCTGACCTGCATGTAGACGGTCTGAGCCGCTGCCGGTCCTGTATCGGCTCTTTGGACCCTGTCTTTGCGCCCAATTCAGAGCCGGCCCTCCGCAAATATGGGGAGTGGGCAGGCACATGGTGTGGTTTCCTCTCTGCCTGCCCCCTTTATTGCCATCACCATTCATGCCTCTTCTGTGGGAGCTCCCAATGCAGCCAGAGAACGGTGGGGCGAGTACATGCATGAGGAGCCTTCACACGCATGTGCGCGCGCACGCGCACACACACACACACACACACACACACACACACACACACGGACTAGGAATGGGCGTGCGTGGGGGAATGAATGGAGGTCCCAATGGCAGGCCCACGTCTGGGCCGCAGAGGGGCAGATGGAGGCCCCCAGCAGTGGGCCCACTGCCCAGGTTCTCCGCACGCGCAGCTCTCCATGCCGCTCCTTTCCTGCAGGGCGGGAGCTTCGACGTGGCGGACAGAATGTTCCACAGCCTGCAGGGCGCATGGGAGTCGGCCTCCAGAGAGAACATGAGTGACGTGCGGGAGCTGACCCCGGAGTTCTTCTTCCTGCCCGAGTTCCTCACCAACTGCAACGCCGTGGAGTTCGGTGAGCCAGGCCGGGAGGTGGCGGCGGGCTCTTCCCCGCAGCTCAGGGCTGGGTCACCATCTCTGCTGAGCAGCACAGCCCACAGCCCCCTCTGCACGGACCAGCGTCCTGGACGCACAGTGTTCCACCCCGGTTCCTAGTCCAGTTTGCGCTCTCATGGACCAAAGCCCTGCTGTGTCTCCCCCCTCAGGCTGCATGCAGGACGGGACGGCCCTGGGGGACGTGCAGCTCCCGCCCTGGGCTGACGGGGACCCTGGGAAATTCATCAGCCTGCACAGACAGGTGAGTGGAGCAGGGTCATCTCAAAGTCCCGGAACCCTGCGTGAAGCCCTCAGCATCCCCTCCGTCTCCAGGGAGACTTTCTGGGTATCTGGGGGTCTCCCCATAAGTGCTTCTGAAGCCCTTTTGTCCGGGGAACTCCTGCTGGGTGGGAAAGAGCATGCTTGGGTCTGCGCTCTTCCGAGAGCTCCAGGAGGCTTTGTCCTTGTGCTGTTTCCTCAGGGATGGGGGGGGGGGGTGTCCACTGGGAAAGCAAATTCAGATTTCTGGATGCCCTAGACGACAAGCCAGTGTCTTCAGTCGGCCCTGCAAAAAGGGCCACACCCTGGGCCAAACTCTCCAGAATAACTCAGAGAGGGACTGGAGGCCCTGGAGGCCCCCACAGGTCAGAGCATTCACCAGGCCTGGGAGGACTTGGCTTTCTACCCAGGAGGCTGATGGGGGAAGGGCAGAGGCCATTTATGCTGGGTTAGCCCAAACACATGGAAAAATGTTCAACATCAGCTGTCAGGGAAGCGTACATTAAAATTACAATGGGATGACAACACACTAGCAAGAATGGCTAAAAGGTAAAATGCAGATAAAACCAAGAGTAGGCGAGAGCATGGAGCAACCAGAACCAACCCATCATGCATTGCTGACAGGAAAAACAATGTAGTCCAGCCAGCTTGAAAAACACCTTGGCCATTTCTTAGAAAGGCGAGGTGCATTTGCTACAACAATTCTACTTGTGATTGTTTGCCCAAGAGAAATGGAAATGTGTCCACAGAAAGTATGTACATGAGATTTCATCTGGTTTACCCATACTAGTAAAAAACCGAGCCACACTAGTGTTTATCAACTGGTGAAGGATCAACCAGCAGTAAACCCAGAGGGTGGTTCGCTGAAAGACCTCCCTTGGAGCCTGCCTAGGGCGGCAGCTTTTCTTCAGTGGCACTGGTCAAAACAACAGAAACAATGAACACTGGCTGACAGAGGCAGTGGATACTAATCAGCAGACGATATTTGGGCTAACTATAAAGCTTAAGTGGGGAGTGAGTTGTTCCTAGGAGCCTTGAAAGACTTAGAAATATCCCTGGGAACCTAGAAGGACACACATTGCAGGGCTGTTTCCATGCACAAGGCTGTGCTCATGCTCAAGAAACATCTAAATGGTCCTTCGCCCTCACTTTCTAGTGGCGTCCAGGCTCAGTGCGAGTGAAGGGAAAGGCAGACTTTGTCATTGTCTGGCTGAACATTGAAACCACTCCCTGACGTTCAAAGAGAACTCCTTGCCCTAGCACAAAAGCTAGAGCGCTGGCCCGTGGACCAGAGTCCCAGGTTTGATTCTGGTCAAGGGCATGTACCAAAGTCGCAGGCTAAATCCCCGGACCCGGGTTGGGCACCTGCAGGAGACAACCAATTGCTGTGTCATTTTCACACTGATACTTCTCTCTGTGTGCCATGTGTCTCTCTGCCTTCTTCCACTTTCTCTAAAAATCAATGGGAAAATTAACAAAGAGAGAGAGGGGGGGGGGAGAGAGAGAGAGAGAGGGAGCGAGCGCGCCCCTTGGCAGACTGGGACTTACTGGTTTTGAGTATTAAAAGAAATCTTTGTCCGTTTATAACTGACATTAAGCTAACAGAGCAGAGCCTTCAGCGGGCACACACAAACAATACAGACGTCATAGAACGCGTTCAGAAAGGGCCCAGACCATAAGCGGTAACTCCTAGTACTTGAGCGCAGTGAGGTCTGCTCAGGAGGCTGGATACCCCTGTGGAGTTCGGAGGTCTGAGGGTTCGTGGCTGGAACAGTAGTTTCAGAAATCACGTATGAGCCTGCCTCAGAAGGGGGTTAATCATTTCTGCCAGCGAACGGGGGTGCTCATGGGCAGACTACACACTTAAACCCCAAGCCGTGCACGGTACCTGATAAGTCAACATGGCAGCTGATACCACATGGAGACCACTGTGCATAAGGCAGGAGCACAAACTGGTCTGCACAGGAACCTGCTGAGAAGGCACGAGCACCGTCCTGTTGCTCAGATGAGGAAACTGAGGGACAGAAAAGTTAGGGAGCGTGAGTGGCAGTGCTGGCTCCTATCCCCTCTGAGCATGTTCTCCGCCCCGCAGGGCCTGGCCTCAGCCACCCGCACTCGGTCAGGGTCAGCGCTCCCTTCCTCCTGGTCAGATCTGAGCAGGTCTCCCCATCGGCAGAGAGATCCTGGTCCTCTCAGGGTTACTCTCTGGAGTAGATGAGTAGGTGGTGGGGACAGCCACCTCCTTTACACCAGCTGGAAGCAGGAATCGGTGGTCTGTGGTTGGCCCGCACATCTGCCCACTGAGAACCCGCCAAGTGCAGGGCAGCATGCCTCCCCCCTGGAGAGCCAGCGCCGCACCCGAGCCTTTGCTCTGAGGGGGGCATGCGCCTCAGAGGGGCCCACGTTCTCACTCTCCTTGGGCTTTGCTTCCAGGCTTTGGAGAGTGACTTTGTCAGCGCCAACCTCCACCACTGGATCGACCTCATTTTTGGGTTCAAGCAGCAGGGCCCAGCCGCGGTGGAAGCGGTGAACACCTTCCACCCCTACTTTTATGGAGACAAGGTGGACCTCGGCAGCATTGGGGACCCCCTGATCAGGAACACCATCTTGGGCTTTGTCACCAACTTCGGACAGGTGCCCAAACAGGTACAGCGTGCCATGTCCTTTGTCTCCTTCGTCAACTAAGTGTGAGAACTTGGGGAGAGAGAGGACACCAGGCAGGAGGACAGATGCTCCTGGGATGGGAGTGACAAGAGGACAGAGGACCAAACAGGCAGGTGGTCTCCGATCGCCCTCCTGTACCCTCAGTGTCAGGGCTGGCCCTCAATGGCATCAATGATGAGGGTGATGGCAGTGTTAATGCTAATGTGGAGGCTACATTCAGCTCGATGCACCTGAGGGCACGGAGATAGGCCCACAACTCATCCCCTAGAGCTGCCTGAAGATCCAGTGAGGGAAGGTGACAAGGTCTTGGAAGTCCCAGGAGATGGTTAGCACCAAGCAGGTGTTGCTCATTAGTGTGGTGGCCTCATGACTTCTTTCCTAAGCTCTGTGTGAGGAGTCATTCTTTCAGAGACGTGGCCTCCAAGGCTCAGAAGCTGAATAAGTTGCCTATAAATGAGCAGGTGACAGGGAGAGAGAGCTCACCTGGCCTCACCTGGCTGCTCCAGAACCCAGGTTTCCTGGCCCTCGGCTGGCCCTGGGCCCTGGTCAGACTGCAAGGTCTCACATGGGCCTATGCCTCACTAGCCCCAGCCCTCAGGATGGGCACGGAGCAGCGTGGGCTATGTATCAGGTGGGCACCCAATGAATGGCATATGGAGAGTGACATGGTTGTTTACCTGATGCCAGCTCTGTGGGTCTCTGCTCAGTTAGGCGTGGAGAAATCTCACCCCGAGCACCCTTAGGCGAGGAGCCTGGTCCTAGCCACGGCCCGCCAGACAGTCAGGCCACCCTGAGGCGGAATGCATAAGACTCGCCAACTCCAGCACCACCCTGGGAGCGCCTGCCTCGCAGGAGAGCTGGACGCTGGATGGGTGCATCTCAGTTAACGCTAACGAATGGCCTCTCTCACCTGGACACAGGGACAGGCTGTGTGCTGGGCTCCTGGAGGGACATGGGGAGAACCTGAGGGTGCCTCGGACAGTGGAACACTGGCGCACCCTAACGTGGGTTCTCAGGGAAGGCTTGTGGGAAGGAGGGCCTTTCAGGAGAGAAGCTTGGTAGCCTGATTTTATTTCTTTCATTTAAAATATAGAATAATACAGACAAAGCAATGAAATAATTCCAAATAACAGTCCCCCCACCTGTGTTCTGTGTTATTTATCACAAGGAAAAGTGCTGATGCATGCCAGGGCCGCTCTTGGTGGCTCTGCTGGGCAGGAAGGAGTTCCGTAGTCAATGTTCACGTCCAGTCCCCTCAGGTTTCTGTCTCTGCATCACCTCCCAGCCCTAGTTCAGCACCTGAGGGACGACTTAGCGGAGCCAGACCCAAGGCTGCTCTGAAGCCTAGCGGCCCATTGAGCCCCACCTGTGCCCGGATGCCCTCTGAGGCCAGCCCCCACTTCAGCCCCAGCATCCCGGCACCCAGCATCCTGGCACCCAGCAGAAACTCGGGCACGGAGGGCCCCGTGGCGGCTGGCACCGGCCTCGTTGCATCCCCGGCCCAGAGAGGACTCGGCAGGCAGTGAGCCCTCACCCTCCTGCTTTGCCTGTTTATGCTAAAAGCTTGGCATTGGGGCAATTTGACAGTAGAAGCCCAAGAAAAAGAAATCAGAAAGGCCACTGGTGAGGTCTGCTGTGCTCTTTGAAACACTCCAACTCCTGCTGCCAAGAGGAGTGCTGCATAGAGTGGAGCCCACGTTCAGTCCGGGGAGGGAACCCACAGGGATTGCTCCAGCAGATAAGGAGGGCGTGGTCTGGAGAAGAGAGGCCCTTCTGGCCCCGGGTCCAGAGGCAGCTTCGGGTGGGCCCCGGTGAGCTCTCCTTGTCCCGGGCAGCGTGGGAGCAGACAGCCCGCAGCCAGTGAGCTGTGCCCGCCAGTCCTGCACAGTGGCCTTGAGGGGAACCGCTGCTCGGACCACCAGCCCCTCGTCTTAGCATCCCAGGGAGGCAGGGAGTTGTGTATGCTGATGCCCCTGAGCACAGGCTGGGCCAGTTGCAGGGAGCTGCAGTGGGCTGCTGCTTGACTTGGCAGCATTTCCTTTGGTGTGGCCCAACACTCTGCCTTTGTCTCTCCAGCTCTTCACCAAGCCCCACCCCGCCCGGGCGGCAGGGAAACCCTCACCTGGGAAGGATGTCACCACGCCTTCCGGCCCACCGGGCCACCCACAGCCCTTGTGCTACAGCCTGCAGGCCCTGCGGCCGTCCCAGGTCACGGTCAAAGGTGAATATGGCCCTGCTTGGTTTGGTTCTGGCTCCATGGCTGTCCCTCAGGACCAGCTCCTCCTGGCTCAGCACACATGGGGGGCCCATCTGACTGAGTCTGGGGTCAAAACAGGAATCTGGGGAGGCCTCTGCTGTGAGAGGAACTCTGTCCAAGACGGACTCCATCAGACCTGACGTCCAGGACCCACTTGTCTGTCCCTGTGTGTCTATCTGAGGCACCCCTCTTTTTCAAATACACACACACAAACACACACACACACACACACACACACACACACACACCTCTCTACTCTCTCGTGTATGCACACAGAGAGAGAGACACACCCTGTCTTTCATGTATATACACACACACCCCTCTCTCTTTCATGTACACACACCTCTCTCTCTTTCATGTACACACACACACCCCTCTCTCTTTCATGTACACACACATATACACACACACTCCTCCCTGTCTTTCTCTCCCTCTCACACACACACCCTCCTCGCTTTCAGAGCTGAGTGGGGAGGCCCAAGGGAGGGTTCCAGAATAGACACTGACAGCCTTCAGGGCCAACCACAGCCCTTTTCCTGCAGGCCACTGGTCAGCCAGGGCGGACCCGGGCCAGGGCACACCTCAGGACAGGGGCCACCTTAGCTCAGGGGCCACCATAGGACAGGGGCCACCCTCAGACCAGGGACCACCAGGCCAGGAGACACCTCAGATCAGGGGCCACCCTCAGGCCAGGGGCCACCAGACCAGGGTCCCCGGAGTGAGGCTGGGAGAGAGGTACCTCGGCCAGTGGTACCGGCCTGGGCATTGCTGTGCTGAGTCCAGTTGCCTGGCCCGGCTCCTCGGGGCCCCAGCTAGAGGGGTGTGGTCCTTGAACTGTGTGCCCCTCCATACTGACTGGGGGGCAGATATGTACCTCTTCTCTCTAGGCTCGGAGTCCCCCAAGGGTGCCATTGGCCACATTGTCCACACCGAGAAGAGCGTGCTGGCTGTGGAGAGGGGCAAGCTGCTGCTGCCGCCCGCCTGGAGCAGGACCTTCTGCTGGGGCGCCGACGACCTCAGCGGCTGCCTGGGCAGCTACGGCTCCGACAAGGTGAGGGCCCGGGGCTGCCGGTGGTGGACAGAGGGGTCTGCTGGGAGAGCCGAATGAAAGTGAGTCCCGTGCCCCCACCCCCATGTGGCGGTGCCCAAGCCAGAGTGAGGTCACATGACTGTGCCAGGCCCTCGTGGGCTGAGCCTGACCATATGCTCCAGAGTGAACTCGCATCGCCCGCTTGTCTCCATAGACCCTGATGACCTTCGAGAACCTGGCCGACTGGGGGCGCTGTCTGTGTGCCCTGTGCCCGTCCCCAACGACCATCGTCACCTCCGGGGACAGCACCGTGGTCTGCGTCTGGGAGCTCAGGATGGCCAAAGGCCGCCCCAGCGGCCTGCACCTCAAGCAGGTACGTACCTCAGGCAGCAGTGGGGGCTCGGACAGGGATGGTTCCTAGAGCAGGTGTGTGCCTAGGGCAGGTGTGTGCCTAGGGCAGGTGTGTGTCTAGGGCAGGTGTGTGTCTAGGGCAGGTGTGTGTCTAGGGCAGGTGTGTCCTAGGGCAGGTGTGTGTCCTAGGGCAGGTGTGTGTCTAGGGCAGGTGTGTGCCTAGGGCAGGTGTGTGTCTAGGGCAGGTGTGTCCTAGGGCAGGTGTGTGTCTAGGGCAGGTGTGTGTCTAGGGCAGGTGTGTGTCCTAGGGCAGGTGTGTCCTAAGGCAGGTGTGTGCCTAGGGCAGGTGTGTGTCTAGGGCAGGTGTGTGTCTAGGGCAGGTGTGTGTCTAGGGCAGGTGTGTGTCCTAGGGCAGGTGTGTCCTAGGGCAGGTGTGTCTAGGGCAGGTGTGTGCCTAGGGCAGGTGTGTGTCTAGGGCAGGTGTGTGCCTAGGGCAGGTGTGTGTCTAGGGCAGGTGTGTGTCCTAGGGCAGGTGTGTCCTAAGGCAGGTGTGTGCCTAGGGCAGGTGTGTGTCTAGGGCAGGTGTGTGTCTAGGGCAGGTGTGTGTCTAGGGCAGGTGTGTGTCCTAGGGCTGGTGTGTCCTAGGGCAGGTGTGTCTAGGGCAGGTGTGTGCCTAGGGCAGGTGTGTGTCTAGGGCAGGTGTGTGTCTAGGGCAGGTGTGTCCTAGGGAAGGTGTGTCTAGGGCAGGTGTGTGCCTAGGGCAGGTGTGTCCTAGGGCAGGTGTGTGTCTAGGGCAGGTGTGTGCCTAGGGCAGGTGTGTCTAGGGCAGGTGTGTGCCTAGGGCAGGTGTGTCCTAGGCAGGTGTGTGTCTAGGGCAGGTGTGTGTCTAGGGCAGGTGTGTGCCTAGGGCAGGTGTGTGTCCTAGGCAGGTGTGTGTCTAGGGCAGGTGTGTCCTAGGGCAGGTGTGTGCCTAGGGCAGGTGTGTGTCTAGGGCAGGTGTGTGTCTAGGGCAGGTGTGTCCTAGGCAGGTGTGTGTCTAGGGCAGGTGTGTGCCTAGGGCAGGTGTGTCTAGGGCAGGTGTGTGTCTAGGGCAGGTGTGTGCCTAGGGCAGGTGTGTGTCCTAGGCAGGTGTGTGTCTAGGGCAGGTGTGTCCTAGGGCAGGTGTGTGCCTAGGGCAGGTGTGTGTCTAGGGCAGGTGTGTGTCTAGGGCAGGTGTGTGCCTAGGGCAGGTGTGTCCTAGGCAGGTGTGTGTCTAGGGCAGGTGTGTCCTAGGGCAGGTGTGTCCTAGGGCAGGTGTGTGCCTAGGGCAGGTGTGTGTCTAGGGCAGGTGTGTGTCTAGGGCAGGTGTGTGTCTAGGGCAGGTGTGTCTAGGGCAGGTGTGTGTCCTAAGGCAGGTGTGTGTCCTAGGGCAGGTGTGTGTCCTAGGGCAGGTGTGTCCTAGGGCAGGTGTGTCTAGGGCAGGTGTGTCCTAGGGCAGGTGTGTGTCCTAGGGCAGGTGTGTGTCCTAGGGCAGGTGTGTGTCCTAGGGCAGGTGTGTCCTAGGGCAGGTGTGTCTAGGGCAGGTGTGTCCTAGGGCAGGTGTGTCCTAGGGCAGGTGTGTGTCTAGGGCAGGTGTGTGTCTAGGGCAGGTGTGTGTCTAGGGCAGGTGTGTGCCTAGGGCAGGTCTGTGTCTAGGGCAGGTGTGTCTAGGGCAGGTGTGTCTAGGGCAGGTGTGTGTCTAGGGCAGGTGTGTGTCTAGGGCAGGTGTGTGTCTAGGGCAGGTGTGTGTCTAGGGCAGGTGTGTCTAGGGCAGGTGTGTGTCTAGGGCAGGTGTGTCTAGGGCAGGTGTGTCTAGGGCAGGTGTGTCTAGGGCAGGTGTGTGTCTAGGGCAGGTGTGTGTCTAGGGCAGGTGTGTGTCTAGGGCAGGTGTGTCTAGGGCAGGTGTGTCTAGGGCAGGTGTGTGTCTAGGGCAGGTGTGTGTCTAGGGCAGGTGTGTCCTAGGGCAGGTGTGTGTCTAGGGCAGGTGTGTGTCTAGGGCAGGTGTGTGCCTAGGGCAGGTGTGTGTCTAGGGCAGGTGTGTCTAGGGCAGGTGTGTGTCTAGGGCAGGTGTGTGTCTAGGGCAGGTGTGTCCTAGGGCAGGTGTGTGTCTAGGGCAGGTCTGTGCCTAGGGCAGGTGTGTCTAGGGCAGGTGTGTGTCTAGGGCAGGTGTGTGTCTAGGGCAGGTGTGTCCTAGGGCAGGTGTGTGTCCTAGGGCAGGTGTGTGTCTAGGGCAGGTGTGTGTCTAGGGCAGGTGTGTGTCTAGGGCAGGTGTGTGTCTAGGGCAGGTGTGTCCTAGGGCAGGTGTGTGTCCTAGGGCAGGTGTGTGTCTAGGGCAGGTGTGTCCTAGGGCAGGTGTGTCCTAGGGCAGGTGTGTGTCTAGGGCAGGTGTGTGTCTAGGGCAGGTGTGTCCTAGGCAGGTGTGTGTCTAGGGCAGGTGTGTGCCTAGGGCAGGTGTGTCTAGGGCAGGTGTGTGTCTAGGGCAGGTGTGTGCCTAGGGCAGGTGTGTGTCCTAGGCAGGTGTGTGTCTAGGGCAGGTGTGTCCTAGGGCAGGTGTGTGCCTAGGGCAGGTGTGTGCCTACGGCAGGTGTGTGTCTAGGGCAGGTGTGTGTCTAGGGCAGGTGTGTGCCTAGGGCAGGTGTGTCCTAGGCAGGTGTGTGTCTAGGGCAGGTGTGTCCTAGGGCAGGTGTGTCCTAGGGCAGGTGTGTGCCTAGGGCAGGTGTGTGTCTAGGGCAGGTGTGTGTCTAGGGCAGGTGTGTGTCTAGGGCAGGTGTGTGTCTAGGGCAGGTGTGTCTAGGGCAGGTGTGTGTCCTAAGGCAGGTGTGTGTCCTAGGGCAGGTGTGTGTCCTAGGGCAGGTGTGTGTCTAGGGCAGGTGTGTGTCTAGAGCAGGTGTGTGCCTAGGGCAGGTGTGTGCCTAGGGCAGGTGTGTGCCTAGGGCAGGTGTGTCTAGGGCAGGTGTGTGTCTAGGGCAGGTGTGTGTCCTAGGGCAGGTGTGTTCCTAGGGCAGGTGTGTGCCTAGGGCAGGTGTGTGTCTAGGGCAGGTGTGTCTAGGGCAGGTGTGTCTAGGGCAGGTGTGTGCCTAGGGCAGGTGTGTGCCTAGGGCAGGTGTGTCTAGGGCAGGTGTGTGTCTAGGGCAGGTGTGTGTCCTAGGGCAGGTGTGTTCCTAGGGCAGGTGTGTGCCTAGGGCAGGTGTGTGTCTAGGGCAGGTGTGTCTAGGGCAGGTGTGTCTAGGGCAGGTGTGTCCTAGGGCAGGTGTGTGTCTAGGGCAGGTGTGTGTCTAGGGCAGGTGTGTGCCTAGGGCAGGTGTGTCTAGGGCAGGTGTGTGTCTAGGGCAGGTGTGTCTAGGGCAGGTGTGTGTCTAGGGCAGGTGTGTCCTAGGGCAGGTGTGTGTCTAGGGCAGGTGTGTCTAGGGCAGGTGTGTCCTAGGGCAGGTGTGTCCTAGGGCAGGTGTGTGCCTAGGGCAGGTGTGTGTCTAGGGCAGGTGTGTGCCTAGGGCAGGTCTGTGTCCTAGGGCAGGTGTGTGTCCTAGGGCAGGTGTGTGTCTAGGGCAGGTGTGTGTCTAGGGCAGGTGTGTGTCTAGGGCAGGTGTGTCCTAGGGCAGGTGTGTGTCTAGGGCAGGTGTGTGTCTAGGGCAGGTGTGTCTAGGGCAGGTGTGTCTAGGGCAGGTGTGTGTCCTAGGGCAGGTGTGTGTCCTAGGGCAGGTGTGTGCCTAGGGCAGGTGTGTGTCTAGGGCAGGTGTGTGTCTAGGGCAGGTGTGTGTCTAGGGCAGGTGTGTCTAGGGCAGGTGTGTGTCTAGGGCAGGTGTGTCCTAGGGCAGGTCTGTGCCTAGGGCAGGTGTGTCCTAGGGCAGGTGTGTGTCTAGGGCAGGTGTGTGTCTAGGGCAGGTCTGTGCCTAGGGCAGGTGTGTGTCTAGGGCAGGTGTGTCTAGGGCAGGTGTGTGTCTAGGGCAGGTGTGTGTCCTAGGGCAGGTGTGTCCTAGGGCAGGTGTGTCCTAGGGCAGGTGTGTGTCTAGGGCAGGTCTGTGCCTAGGGCAGGTGTGTGTCTAGGGCAGGTGTGTCCTAGGGCAGGTGTGTGTCCTAGGGCAGGTGTGTGTCTAGGGCAGGTGTGTCTAGGGCAGGTGTGAGTCTAGGGCAGGTGTGTCCTAGGGCAGGTGTGTGTCTAGGGCAGGTGTGTGTCTAGGGCAGGTGTGTGCCTAGGGCAGGTGTGTCCTAGGGCAGGTGTGTCTAGGGCAGGTGTGTCTAGGGCAGGTGTGTGTCTAGGGCAGGTGTGTGTCTAGGGCAGGTGTGTCCTAGGGCAGGTGTGTGTCCTAGGGCAGGTGTGTGTCCTAGGGCAGGTGTGTGTCTAGGGCAGGTGTGTCCTAGGGCAGGTGTGTCCTAGGGCAGGTGTGTGTCTAGGGCAGGTGTGTGTCTAGAGCAGGTGTGTGCCTAGGGCAGGTGTGTGCCTAGGGCAGGTGTGTGCCTAGGGCAGGTGTGTCTAGGGCAGGTGTGTGTCTAGGGCAGGTGTGTGTCCTAGGGCAGGTGTGTTCCTAGGGCAGGTGTGTGCCTAGGGCAGGTGTGTGTCTAGGGCAGGTGTGTCTAGGGCAGGTGTGTCTAGGGCAGGTGTGTGTCTAGGGCAGGTGTGTGCCTAGGGCAGGTGTGTCTAGGGCAGGTGTGTGTCTAGGGCAGGTGTGTGTCCTAGGGCAGGTGTGTGTCTAGGGCAGGTGTGTCTAGGGCAGGTGTGTCTAGGGCAGGTGTGTGCCTAGGGCAGGTGTGTGTCTAGGGCAGGTGTGTCTAGGGCAGGTGTGTCTAGGGCAGGTGTGTCCTAGGGCAGGTGTGTTTCTAGGGCAGGTGTGTGTCTAGGGCAGGTGTGTGCCTAGGGCAGGTGTGTCTAGGGCAGGTGTGTGTCTAGGGCAGGTGTGTCTAGGGCAGGTGTGTGTCTAGGGCAGGTGTGTCCTAGGGCAGGTGTGTGTCTAGGGCAGGTGTGTCTAGGGCAGGTGTGTCCTAGGGCAGGTGTGTCCTAGGGCAGGT